GAGAACCAGATGAAACATAGAATATGGTTCCTGCAAGTAGACAATTCATTCACTTAATCCTGACTTATGATTGACTTTGGATACCTACTGCAAATAGGCATTCTATTTAAAATGCGAACCAAATATATCATTGACATTGAATTAATATGCTGGCTCCGCTCAATATTGCAAGCAGAAAACTGCATTGTACACCTAGTTTTAACTTGCGAAAGACTGTAGGCTAAACATGTGAAAAATATGTTACAATGGCAATCTATTTCGAGTTCTGGAAGTTATGTTTTTAGAAAAATGTATAACTAATTAAAGCTTTCAAAAGATAGAGTAAACAAAATATTTAACGACAACCCTGCAAACCTGTGTGTTAGCTATTCCATCACGAAATTGGAATGCTATTTTATCAATCTTTCCATAACAATCAATTCTTCCCCTTTCTTGGGTATTCACATTGACCTAGATAAAATTATTCCACAACGTACGACTTTACATCCTGTCGAGTAGAAACATGCCCCACCAGCCCTTGCTGCTATCCTGGGCTGCGTTTCCGAGAAGAGTATATTGGTGAGACTAGTTCTATTGTGTGACTCGCTAATCCCTTAATTCCTGCCCCAAACTGAACATAAGGCAACTATTTGCAGTCAATGTTTTCTCCACAATTATAAATTGTCACGTTGCATATGCTATGAGTGAAGACTCGCAAATGTGTAGGTAGTTAAGTAAAATATGGAACTAAAATTAAATATTTTTAGGGGTTGAAACGGGTAGAACTATATAATTTTTTAATGGATTTGTTGATTGAATCAAAATGGAATACAAAGAGAGTGAAAAATACATAAATGATCGGTCATTATCACACAGACAATATGTTTTAATATTTAGTATTTTAATATGTTTCACCTAAAAAAAAAAAAAAAAAAAATGTCAGTGCAAATGTAAGTGCAATTTAAAAGGTTGAGTAACTTTACTTAGATAAACAATTGCTACAATATAACTTACACACATAGCTGAAAAAGCCGCTTCTCAAAATTTAAGAAAAATAAATAGTTTACCTTTTAAAAAGTCGAAATAAAATGTCCCCCCCCCAACGTTTAGTACAAAAAACACAATAAATAAAATAAAACAAAAAATAAAGCGGGTGTTTCAGTTATGACCAAAAATGCTATTCCTATGTAAAATAACATTTAGCTTGATGTATGTGGTGGGGTTTTCACGTTCTATTCTATACATAAAAATAAGCTGCAATCATGCAGTTTTGTTTGCCTAATATTTTGTTTGGAAATCCCATCGCGAAATTTTGAGTTGATTAATGAAAAATCCAATTTAAATAACATCTTCTTAAATTTATACTTCAGATTGTTTACGCCTACGTTATAAACTAGTTCGTGATATATTAAGGGTGTGTTAGTGGCAAAGTGGTAAACTTATCGGATTCGATGAGTTTCATGCCCAACCGACGCCCACATAATAAGAGGCATACAGTACTGGAACACTTTTACAGAAAATCGATTAAGATTTAAAGTAACTTCTTAAAATGACTCTTACACTGACAAAATACATCAAACTTTTTATGATCCTTCGAGCCGGATATTTTTAAAATGTTTAAATGTCATGTGAAACACAAAAGAAACAACATATAATTTCCCCTTTAAATCCCGAACCTTTTTTAGTATTTAAACAGCATTTATGGGAGATAATAAACGTAGTAGGCATATAATTCATTAAATATGATAAAATCCACTTTAACTTTCACAATCTTCCCCCTCCGAGCGTACGTTGCACAAGACGCCACGCGCCGATATCTCGTCAAATTAACTGGACGATATTACACCGGATATCCGCTACGTAATCTCTATCCAGAAGATATCCACACAGCTGATTACTAATCCGAAGAGAGCGGACGTGTAGTAATCGCGTAAGAAAGGACAATGTCTTAACTTTTAATCGGTAAATTATTCAGCCTTTCACGGGTCTTATGGACCGCAGAGTAGTTAAATGAAAATAGCTCATTTCGTGTATAAAAAATATACATAATAAAAAATACAAGTGTAATTTTAATAGTTGTAAAAATGAGCTAAAATGTTGATTTATGTGGGTACTGCTTTGGGATCCTGAACAACAGTTTTTGGTATATTAGTACTGTATATACCCAGTAGACATATCATCACCGTGTTTAATTTTTGCAATGACTACCAAGATACTAGATGGGACATCGTATATTACCAACTGTATTAAGATTCTTACTGAAAGATATCATAACCGAATAAGTATTTTGCTGAGAGTGCTAGTGTCAGTATCTTTTATTTCCTCTTTAATTTTTCAAAATAAAGATGCTAAAGTGTACAATAAACTGTCCTTCCAGTTTTGGTTTGATCAAAAAGTAGATACAACAGAAGTTAGTTGTTCACCGCAGAAACTGTCAGAGACTCAATTCAATTACGTCAATGTATATCGTTATAATGCTTATGTATACTGAGTATTGTCATTGCTATTAGAAAACTCTATAGCAACTCTATATTGTATTTCCTCTTAAATGCCGATGGCTTGGACACTGACAAAATATTTTTGTGGCCCTTCGTGCCGGATACTTTTACAAATGAGAATTTATCAAAAAACCTAAATCTAGAAACGAAAAACTTTCTGGTAACTTTCTAAGCTACATGTATATCATCATCATTGCACAATTTCCCCAAATCCACCAACCCATACATCTTACAACAAAGAGACAGACCGAGGACGATAACGAGTAGGAGGCCGTGTCACCGCGGTCGCGGATGTTGTAGAGAACAGCTGAAAGTTAAGTCCGTAGATAAGATCTAGTGTAGACCGCTAACAAGTAGCCCGGCGTGTGTGGGTGGGCCAAACCGGCAACAATGCGCGTGCGCAGACAGGCTACAATCAAACTATCATAGTGCAGCGCAGTCGCAGTAAATAGTGCAACGGCGCAGTGCGCCACGACGCGAGATGGCGCTGGCTAGTGCAATCTGGTATAGACTTTGAGGTTACGTTTGAGTAATTTAGTTGCCAAAGATGGTTAAACATCGTAGCTGTCCATTATGTACACAGCGAACTGCTATATTTGTACACGTATGCAAAAATTGTTAGTTCCCTAGCTCTGAATTATGCACGTAGCGAAGTGCTAAAAAAAACCAGCGATATAATTGCATTATTTTAGGTTCAAACCCAGCTTACTGTGCTTCGCTCCCCATAACATGTACTCGTGTAGCAAATGGGGTTTAGTTAACAAAACGTTAGAGTAATTGAACCTGAAGCATTACCTAATAATAAATAGACCAAAAGAATGAAAGACACAGTAAAAGAGTTTGAAAATTTAAAATCGATTTCGATGATTTTTACAATGTTTAACGTTAATCAGTGCTCTATATAGTGTTCTAGATTTGTCAACGCGCACCATCACTACTTCTTTGCGCATACACGGTTAGTTTCGCAAAATTTAAAACTGTACTTGGTCAGGATCCCGCCACATAAACAAGGAGCGACCAGTTATCGTACAGTGTAGCCCTGCACCGTAAGAAACCGTGGGGTACAATTAGCTTTTAATTATTGTACCCCACAACAATTATTGTCAGCGAACCATGGGCGTCACCGTCTTGGCGATGTGAACAGACAACGGATAATTTATCGTTTCCCTCCGAGAATACACGGAAGGCGCGAGAAAAATATGGCACTGGACGATGAATTTCAAATTTGACACGGGAAAACTCCCCGGCCGTGTCGTTTTGCCAACGTAACACGTCCGAACAAATTGTTTTGAGCACCGTCAGTGACCACGAGTCTGGAATTAAATCAGGCTCGAAAGGAAATGTAAATGTACGACTCCACCCAGACGGAATTGAGGTGAAAATTATTACGCTTTGTTGTTTTGTTTGACAGCTTAATTTAAACGGCTACAAATCATTTTGCATTTTGAAAACGAGCTATGAATAAATACTGTGTTGAAATTAAATACTCGTATGATAAACTGTCACATACATAGTTTGTAACTGATTCATTTTTTGCTTCAAGATACAAAATAATTGTTTTTTTTAATTTAAAGATAGAAACAGTAGTTGGTTAGCACTCGGTACAACAGTCTTTTGACTAACGATATTCTTCAACCTGTCACGATATGATATGTTTAATAATGACAAACTTCCGACATAGAAAATATTTCAAACGCACATCAATCAACTGATTAGCACATATTTTACACTTATTTTGCAATTTGTTCGGAATTGGAGCAAATTAATAGGGTTAAAGGCAAACAGAATTAGAGGCAGTTAAGCTAATAGCCGATGTGGCTAGCAGGGCGCGCCGAGCGAGCTATCGATTACAAGGCAATAATTATCCGGTAAGCCTCTAATCACGGTAATTAACATAGTTGCGTGAACGTCTCAATCTGCGACACTAGCGATCTGGCGTACAGCGGCGACTTGGACAATTAGCTGTACACGGCCTGCAGATTATCTTACCGACAGTTCACGGTGGTAACGTAGATTTGTCTTATGGAACAGGTGAAGAGTTGTTAATGTATCTTCTCATAATAAGCCTACAGTATGATTACACATAGATTCAAAGTCGATCTTATCAGCGGTACACCAGCGGATTATCTTATCGACGGATTTAAGTTTAAGTTAATCTATATTTTTATAAGGATGGATTGAACACACGCTCTTACTTGTGCACCTATATCCACATTGTCTTCTTACAAAAGTATTATGTTACTTTTGAAAAAGTTTTAGCTCTGGGAGCTATCAAATCAAACACCAGTAAAGAGTGATCCCTTCACTCGAGAATTTTTTTCTAGAATAATATCAAATATGGTGACTGATCCACCTGGTTGCAGCATTATCAATTACCTCAAAGCCATTGGCGAACGGCAGGATTTGTCATAAGTACAGTATTGGTACACTGAAAACCTTCGTTGAATTTACCTAATAATCAACTGGCGTACAAAATTATATACTGTCTTTAGAAACTCTTAGCCTTTGTAAGCATCCACTTACCCAATGCATCCCGGGTGTGTACTGGGGTTGCACCTCATACACTCCCATGAGGGTGGGTTCCGTGTTCTGGCTACAGCAGCGACTCCCACCTAGCTCCTGGACCTGCACGTCATGGTCCTAGAGGCTGTCCGCTCCTCCACACCTGTAGACAGACACTACAGTCAAATACAATGTTGCACTCTCCTTCAAAGTCAATACAGTCAAATATAATAACAGAGCTTTCATGGATTTTATGGATTTTACTTTTTTGGAAGGAGCACCTGAAACAATGTAAGTGTACAAAACGAATCCTGATGTTTAGGCAAATTACTGGCGAGTTTTCAATAGTTCCTGCCGTAAGATTTGTCGTATCATTGCCAATCTGATTCTCTTGTTGTCCCATACCTCTAGTTTTGAACCTCAAATCCCTTGACCGTTTCTAAACGTCCTAATACCTCCAACGATTCTTCAACCCTCACTTCACCATCACCCAAATCTCACCACAGAACATCTCACCAATATGTCAAGTCAAACCATGTAAATTCGCATCACAACAACTCCAACATCTACAATGAACCAGGACTAACCTTCCCCTCCAACTAAATGAAACCAGCTACCTCACCACCAAAAAGAGACCGTTTGCCAAACTGTAGAACAGCTCTAGCTTTAAAATATTTTCATCACAAGCCAACCCCTCCACCCAATGCTAGAAAAGGCCTACGGCCTAGAGCAACTTCTTTCCACCCACTGGAAATTTATGATCATCACTGTCGGGGAGGTAGAACCCCAAGAGTTAAAGGTTAAAGTTAAATATAAATTTAATATTAGCGAGTCAGAAAGAATACTGAAATTCATTTTTGTCAGATTTGTTCCACATGTAACAGAGTTTTTCAAAATAAATTCGAAAGATCAAAAGCCATCTTCAACATTTTACACCCCGAACGCGTTTCAAAGAATTGTTTTGAACACGAAATGTTGGTAAACACGATGAAACCGTGTGATTTAAATGGCCAAACGTCGGCCGCGACTGTCGGGTGGAATTTATGAACCGTCGCAAGATCATTAATTGGAGCGAAGGGTAAAAAGCACAAAGCAGCAAGCAGTAGCATTGACAAATCCCGAGCCTGTAGAGGCGCTGCGGCTGAAACCCGTACGTTCGGGTCACTTTCCTTTAATTAGTCGACTAATTGGTCTAAGCTATTCACGGCTGTATGGTGTATATTTAGCATGATAGGTTCACGCCTGCCAATGCCTGGAAACATTCTGCGTCGACCAGACGAGTGGCTCCAACTCCTACACAACGTTGGTGAGGTGAAATTTACATATATTTTGGATTTTAATTTTGATAGTAATTTAGCGTAGATTTAACGTACCTATACGTTCATCGTATACATCGTTGATTCTATAATCTATCCTTTCTAAGAGTAGAGTAGTCTTTTTTATTTTTTGGAAACATTTAGTTGGCATTACAGCTCTCAAACGATACTAATACTAATAATAAACACACATTAAAAGATAAATCTTCTTCAGACATTCAAATTAGAAGAGTATTTTACTTACTCTTTTCAAAGTCATTGATACAAGCAATTTTAGATTTATATATCCCTAACTATACGAATAACTTAGACCAGCATAAAGTTTCAACAATTTGCTTCCATAAAGCTCTTCGTGAGAATTGCCCATGTAAATTTGCTACATAATACTGTATACAATAATATATAAAAATACTCACCTAGACCTATATCAAACAAACGGGCTAAAGCCAACGCCAACCGACCCACAGAGGCCTTTGTCCGTTAACGCGTTTGCAGCAAAGCCAAGTGAGATAATTAGTAATAAATATACATGAGGTAAGAAATGGTATTAAACAAACGGCCACGGCTTGAGACATCTTTATTTTATTGTGTTATGAATACGAACGATCAGTGTAGGGGCGTGTTGTTGTGACTGGTTATTATTGTTCGTAATTAAAGCTCAGGTCGATAGTTAATTGGTTGGTAGACCGGGAGCTACGAAGATAATTTATTAGGACGTGTTAATTCCAAAACTGTCCCGGTTGGAATCGACACTGTGATAACTGTAAGGTGAGTGACTCTACTGAATACGCATTCGTTTGTTAATTTTCTGATGGGATTAATGTGCAGTGCACAAAGTAACATTAATCAACCGAGGAAAATGATACAACTACACATTGATTTTTAAAAACAGCACAGCTGAAAAACAACGTAATAATAGTAATCATTTGTTTATTGCAGTAGAAAAAATTACATTGCAATACAAACGTCAAGTACATAATGTTTTTGAACAATTAATTAATCCATGCAATTATTTACATTTTGTCAGGTTAAAACAACAAAACAAAACATTAAGGTGAATTGATAAAAAGCAATCGATGACTACTATCAATCAATCAACCAGAAAATGTGGCATAGAAACTGATTCTTAACAGTTAATTATTATTTACCCTAGGCATAAAAATTAATACCTAACCTATTGAAAACAACGGTTTTCGATGCAGTTAAAACTATTCCTGAACCAAGCTTTTCAACACAAAGTAAACAGTCCCAAGCTGTCACTCCCGAGCTGTGGACGAGTTTCCGAATTTACGTCCTCATTTAATTTACCTCCCATTGTTTGAGGGATTACACGCTAAAGTTTTAATTATGCCTCCACGTCGACATCTTGTTCAGCCCGCTATCAGTGACACATCAGCCCAGCAGACATAAGTCTTCTTCAGCACGTACTCTGGCAATTACGGTACCGTTTAACGTGGTCCGTGCCAGTTTCCTGCGAATGAAATATGATGCGGCTTTTAGCTCGGATCTTTCCGGCTGAGACACTCCATGAATATTTCAGCCCCAAATGTGGCTACTTAAATCTTTATTTCTCTAATACAATCGCACCTGTAATTCTGCTCTATAGTTTATAGGCCGTAAACCCCGCGGAATGGGCGGTTTGCGACCTCTACAAGAAGTTAGGTGTTGTAGTTTTCGTTTATATCTGCGATGGTTAATTCATTAGGCCTTAAGTTTTTAAATACTTCCGTCAAATTAAGGTGGTGTTCTGTTACGAACAAAATAATAGGGGTTTAATTCGTAAATGTTATTTTATTGCTAACTGACGACTTTTTAAACCCTCTTATACGTTGTGGTGATTTTAAAAGATGGAACTGATTTAGAATGAAAAGCCCATATATATTCCGTGTTATATTTAAGTTAAAAGAACCACACAACAGTTAATTCCAAAGAAAAACCTATATTGACTAACAACCCAAAAACAAGAAGCAGTTGGTTCACTCTTTCGGAACGTTGATACAAATTTATTTCGCACGATGGACAATTTAAATTATAAATGCACGATAAGCGCTTGAGACAGAAACTATAACATATTAAACTTAAATGTACAGGTATGGTTACTTAGTTGTTTAATTGACTTTTGGATAATGAAATACCGTAATCTAATCTATATGGGTCCGTCATCACATGGATTTTATCTACTGATAATAAATACCTCGACCCCTCTAGACCATGTCTGAAGTAATGAGGAAAACAATCCCGGAAACAAATAAGGAAAATAAGTCTATATGGGCAAATTATAGCTAATAGTTGTTCAAATAAAACATAGATGAACTATCCAGCCACAGACTGGACTACTGTTAAAACTATGTTTTCTCTCTAACTTTTCGATACATTCTTTACAGGTTCTAAATATTACAATAAATCGGCCTTACAATTTGTTGAGGTTAAAAACACGTTGCGTCCAACGAAAATCAGTCATTTAACAACTCTCGGGGATCAATTAGTTTATATTTTAAAACTAGGTACAACTGTTATCGTGAGATCGGCATGTCTAGATCAATTCATAGTCACAGGTATTTTAGGTAACAACACTCTCAGAGTTGTAATCTTTAACTAAAGAAGGAGAAGTTATCAAGTAACCCGATAGTCTCAACTATCGCAGGATACTGACTCATTAACAGCTGATTATCAGCATTACTACATTATTAGCACCATACATTTCTATTTTTTGTATGTCATTGAACCATTGGCACAAGAAAGGTTCATTTTTACATGACAAACATAAGCGGAATTTACAATGACACACAGTTCACGAATTATCATATTACCTAGGTATTACCTCGGTTGTAACAATTGCGCAACTAACGTACGTATACGATATTCCAAATCGGTAAAAAATTGTATGTATATTTTTGTCACCATTATGCTCTATGCAAGTAGATAACATTTACATTATTCATTATGTATCAACTAACAGATTCTCAAATTACATTTAAGAATTAGGTTTGGCGTTATCCTCAGGCTGTTCACATCAGATGAAACACTCGTCCACAAGTAGGCCTACTTCACTGAAACTATTTAAATGCTATTGAATGATTAACGTAAGCATGTACACGATTGTTAATACCAATCGATAATCGGTAGGCTATGCTGTAGCGCCATCATGACAACAGAATAAAATAGCAAATTTACCTTACAACATATAAAAGTCATTGTGCAATTTCACAGAGAATTACAATTCCTCCCAAGAATATAAATGTTCACCCGGATAAATTTATACGATAATGAAACTTTAACAATCCGGGATTAAGTCCAATATCTTGTTCGGACGTATTATATATATTATATCTTGGTTTATATATTGCCGTGATTGGCTCAGAGCAGGGGCACCTCATTACCAAGTTAAGTGAACATAAACTGAATTGTTTTCACTTTCCCTGTTTATGGCCAGTTTCAAATGATTTATGAACGCCTATAAACGCCCGTCGGCCGTACCGCGGCTCTTTTTACACGCGAAAATCGCTTATCGATGCCTTCATTTCTAGTGCTTTACGGTCGAATTTCGTTTCCAAACAATGCATATTTATGAACCATTGTTGATTGTCCAGAAGCCTATTGTGAATTTAACTATTGTTGATGATAAAAAATAAATTAATAGCGTAAAAAATAATGATCAATCTTTGTGATGAAATGAAGAAGTAGCACAAATAGCACAACATTTTGTAACGCATAATTGTTTTTCGACAATGTCTCTAAGCATAGATTACGAGCACCCTAAATAGAAACTGTTTGAAAACCATCAAAGAACTCAACCTGTCTTCACACTAGAAATCGGACGAAGTCCAAAATAAAAAATCCAAATTTT